CGATTTGTTTTCCAGCCCCCTCACCAGCTTCGTTGCCCTCCTCTGCACTCGCTCCAGCACCTCCAGATCTCTCTTGGATTGAGGTGCCCAAAACTGGACACAACACTCGAGGTGTGGCCTCCCCAGTGCTGAGTACAGGGGCACAATCACCTCCCTACTTCTGCTGGTCACACTATTTTTGATACAAGCCAGGATGCCATTGGCTTTCTTGCCCCCCTGGGCACACGCCGGCTCATATTCAGCCCTTTGTCAACCAGAACCCCCAGGTCTCTTTCCTCCAGGCAGCTCCAGCCACACTTCCCCCAGCCTGTAGCGCTGCAGGGGGTTATTGTGGCCCAAGTGCAGGACCTTGTACTTGCCCTTGTTGAAACTCGTTCTATTGGCATTGGCCCAGTGATCCAATCTATCTAGATCCTTGGATCTAGAGTAAGGAGTAAGAGATCAGAAACACAGACCTGACAAATAACCCCGGAAGACCGGTCTGTTTGGTGTTGTGCTGCCCTGTGTGCCCCCACAGCATGTCTTCACACACTCTCCTGTGGCTGTCATCAGCACAAGCATGTTTTGCTGGGAACAGGGCTCCTTGGGGCTGGCCTGGGGATGGACACGGTCACAGGGACAACGTGTGTGACATTGTGTCCAGTTCTGGGCACCTCAATACAAGAGAGATCTCGAGGTGCTGGAGCGAGTGCCGAGGAGGGCGACGAAGCTGGTGAGCGGGCTGGAAAACAAATGGTAGGAGGAGCGGCTGGGGGAGTTGGGGCTGTTCAGTATGAGGAAGAGGAGGCTGAGGGGAGACCTCATCACTCTCTACAACTACTTGAAAGGACACTGTAGAGAGGTTGGAGCTGGTCTCTTCTCACAGGTAATTAACAATAGAACGAGAGGGAATGGCTTCAAGCTCCAACAGGGGAGGTTTAGATTGAACATGAGGAAGGAATTTTTCACTGAAAGAGTGGTCGGGCATTGGAACAGGCTGCCCAGGGAGGGGGGGGAGTCCCCATCCCCGGCTGTGTTTAAGGGACATGGTGTAGGGGAGGACTTTGTAGAGTAGGGGAGATGGTTGGACTCGATGATCCCAAGGGTCTCTTCCAACCTCAGTGATTCTATGATCTCCTGGTCACCTCATTCCCACCTCTGCTGACTCTGGGTGTGTAACACAGGTATTTTTTATAAAACACGCTGTGTGTAGACATCGCTGTTCGTGTGGCTGGGCTGAGGTTTGGTGTGACACAGGACAACCACCTCTGTGTGCAGCTGCTCCTGTCGGACACCAGGCAGGAGGGACCCACAGGGTTTGCACTCAGCAAGGTGCCTCGGGAGCACTGGCTGCTGTGAAGGTCTCTAAGGGATTTGGGGGATTGTGTGGCCCTTTGGGAGGAGGGAAAGGTGTCGGTGTAGGTACAGCTTTTTATTTGCAGCTGATTGTCTTGAATGTAGGCCCTAGTCAGATAAAAAGATGCTGGAGATCAGTCTATAAATGTGTATACAGCCCTCCGCTAACAGCTAAGGAAGAGGAATCTTAAAATGAAGTGCAATCTAAAAGCTCAGTTTTCTTGGCTCGGGATCCAAAGCAGAATTTGGAGGTGAATTTCTGTGTTGAGAGTCATGTGGGGGATGCTGGGGCCTGACTGCTTACAGGAAGGCTCTTAACTCTCCTGTGAAACCCTGTTAAACAAAGGGGCCTTGTGTCTCATCTCCTGTGTTCACTTGGCTTTGTTCAAGGATGAGCTGCATTTTCCCTCGGAGGCCTCATCAAATCAAGTCAACTAGAGGAAGGCTCACTTAAAGTCCAAAGTGTAGGTTTTGGGGCTGTGTATGTGTGGAAAAGCGATAGGAAGGGAGGACTGGGCTTTTTTAGAGTGGGGTAATTTCCCTGTTTTCATACCTAAATCTTATGATTTATCTCAGTGCAGCTGGATGTGATCAAGTCTCTGGTCCTCTTTGACCACTTGGTCGGTGGGAAAGCTGCAGCATGTTCTGCTTAACGTTGGGCTTCTGTGTTGCCCATCTCCTCACACCTTCCCAGGTGCTGGCATGACCAGCAACGCTTTCTTGACTGGTGTTTATGCCTCAGCACCTGCCCAGGGAAACCACAGCAGCAAGATATCTCTCAGACTCGGTGCTTTTACAGTACTGATGGTCGATTCTGGCCAGAAATCAAAACCAAAGTATTTGTCAGAGAATCACAGAATCTTCTAGGTTGGAAGGGACCTTACAGATCATCTTGTCAAACTGTCAACCTAACTGACAAAAATAGACACCCACACAACAAACAAGAAGCAACACCATCACTAAACCAGACCTCCCAGCACTACATCAACCTGTCTTTTGAACACCTCCAGGGATGGGGCCTCAACCACCTCCCTGGGCAGCCCATTCCAAAGGCTGATAACCCTTTCAGTGAAAAAATTTTTCCTAATATCCAACCTGAACCTCCCCTGGGGCAACTTGAGGCCATTTCCTCTTGTCCTGTCGCCTGTGACTTGAGAGAAGAGACCGACCCCCACCTCTCTACACCCTCCTTTCAGGTAGTTGTAGAGAGCAATAAGGTCTCTTCTCAGCCTCCTCTTCTCCAGGCTGAATAACCCCAGTTCCCTCAGCCTCTCCTCATAAGACTTGTCCTCCAGACCCCTCACCATCTTTGTTGCCCTTCTCTGGACCCGCTCCAGCACCTCAATGTCTTTTTTATGGTAGGGAGCCCAAAACTGGACACAGTCCTCGAGGTGGGGCCTCACCAGCGCCAAGTACAGGGGGACAATCACCTCTCGGGTCCTACTTGCCACGCTGTTCCTGATACAGGCCAGGATGCTGTTGGCCTTCTTGGCCACCTGGGCACACTGCTGGCTCATGTTCAGCCCACAGGCCACCAACACCCCCAGGTCCTTTTCTGCCAGGCAGCTCTCCAGCCACTCTGTCCCAGGGCTTCAAGCTTTTGGGCACCTTTGCTGACTGCAGGGTTGGGAAACAAACAGGCTGTGCAGAGGTACAAGAAATGGAATCATGACCATACGACCATGCTCTTGAGAGCATTTGATCTGCTGCTTCTCTCATGCACCTCTTAACCATGCTGACAATGACAGGGTGTTGCCATGTAAAGGTGTGTTGAGGGCAGATACGTCTGTTAATCTGTACTGGGCAGGGCCACCAGAGACCTTCCCCAGGAGACAACACAACCCTGAAGCAGTGGGTGATCTTCTCTCTCTTCACAGATGCCGTGGGAAGAAGTGAGGAGCGAGATGGTAGGAGAGAAGGGGCTCTCCCCCGAGGCTGCGGATCGCATCGGGGAGTATGTCCAGCTTCACGGTGAGCACCTGGAGTGTCCAGCCCTTGGCCTTGTCCTTCCGGGCAGGGCAAGTGACAGAGAAGTCCAGGCTGGGCCCATCGCTGTGGGTGCTGCTCTGCTGGTTGCCCTGAGACATATCTTGTTTCCACAGGTGGCCTGGACCTGATCGAGCGGCTTCTGCAGGACCCCAAGCTGTCCCAGAACAAGCTGGCCAAGGAGGGGCTGGGGGACATGAAGCTGCTGTTTGAGTACCTGACCCTGTTTGGCATCACAGGGAAGGTGAGGAGCTGCGGAGGCAGGAGGGGGTGCAGCCCAGGGTCCCCCTGAGTGCACCCAGTGACGGGGCTCCCTGGTGTCCTACAGATCTCCTTTGACCTGAGCCTGGCGCGGGGTCTGGACTATTACACGGGAGTGATCTTTGAGGCTGTCCTGCTGCAGCAGGAGAACGACCACGTGGAGGAGTCGGTCGGCGTTGGGAGCGTGGCTGGAGGCGGTCGCTACGACGGGCTGGTGGGGATGTTTGATCCCAAGGGCCGGAAGGTGCCCTGTGTGGGGGTCAGCATTGGGATCGAGCGGATCTTCTCCATCCTAGAGCAGAGAGTGGAGGTAGGTGCCTTTTGGTGCTCAACTGAGCATGGACAACAAGCAAAGATTTACATTCTCCCCATATACCCCCAGTCCAGGAGATGCTGAAGTGAGTCTCCCTTGCTGCAGCCTTTGATGGAGGAGCCAGCCGGGCTGGCTGTGCTCTGCAGGAGTCAGAACCAGGACATGATCATCTCCTGTTTTCTCTGGCGTGGGAGATGATCTCCAGGGCTTCCACTGCAGATTAAATCCCTTTTCCATCAGCCCTTGGAGGTGGCTTGTTCAGCTGCAGCTGGAGGGGCACTTTAATCCTCAGCCATACCCGGTACCCAGGTGGGGGGCCCTGGTGTCCCCACTGCCTCAGGCACCCGTGTGACCCCACGTTCCCCTTGGCACGCTGGCACCAAGACAGCAGCCGTGCACATCTGCTCCTCCTGCCCAAGGCTGAGACCAGACAGGGGTTGGATGTCCCAGGGCAGGGATCGTGGGTGCCTATGGGGATTTCCCAGTTACTTTTTTTCCTATTTCCCCTCTCCTCAGAGTTGTGGTACCGATGCGTTGTCCTCCGTCCCAGTCAATGGATGTTAAACAGGTCTTCTGTAGGCTCCCAAAACCCCAACCACACATTTCTCCCCCTGCAAGAGACCTGTGGGGAGCTCTGTCCTCACAGCGAGACCCAACCAGTATTTCTAAGTGGAAACACAACTCTTCCCCCACCACCTGCAGTCCTGGCCAGGTTTGTTCCTCTGCAGATGACCTTTTAAAGGCTTCTCCCTTCAGCAAAAGCAGTGGCAGGAAAATGCCACTTTGAGTATCTGCCACGGGAGCAGGTGGCTGCTGACAGCACTGGAGCATCTCAGCTCCCTGCTGTTAATCTCAGCCGTGGTTAGATTAACCCTGGAGAGCAGGCAGCTGCCTCTCTCCTGCCTCTGCCGGGCCCGCTGCTCTGGAGCTGCTCGCAGCAGGTCCCTGGGAGGTCCTCGTGTGTGGAGGAGCAGTCTCTAGGCAGAAGCTGGCAGGGGATTTGCTCATTCTCAGCACATCCTCCAGCCCACACACCTGCAGCACAGGACGGATGGGAGCCCCCATCACGGAACAACCGCAGAAGATGAGATTCTGCACCAGGATGGGGTCTGTGGGGCCTCCCTGTCTCTCCTGAGTTTATGCTGTTTATCCCACTGAGCCTGATCCTCTTCACTGCTAAACCCATGGGCCTGGGCTGGGGACTCGTCCTGCTCCTCGGGTCTCTCATAGCTCTGTGTGTCCATGGCATCTTTTGAGTCTTGTCCCCTCTCTAGGCCTCTGAAGAAAAGATCAGGACAACGGAGACACAGGTGCTGGTGGCCTCTGCCCAAAAGAAGCTCCTTGAAGAGCGGCTGAAGCTCATTGCTGAGCTGTGGGATGCTGGAATCAAGGTATGTCCATCACCTGGTCAAGTCAGGAGCTGCCTGGTCCACTCTCCATGCCAGGAATGGACCAGACCTGGCTTTGCTGTGGGAGGAAGGATCTTGGGGAGAAGGTGGGCAGCAGACTGCCTTCCTGGATAGAGCCTGCCTCGTCTCGGCGTCCTGAATCAGATGTTCTCCAGGAGGGGCTGGGCAGTGTGACTTGGTCAGCGCTGTGACAATGCAGGGGCTGCTCTGTGCCTGTTATCTCAGGACAGATTCCCAAAGCAGGTGACGCTCCAGCCTCTGCTGCCTGGCAGCTGGGATACTGTGTTGATTCTAACAAAAATAATAAAAAACCCCCACGGAGCCGTGCCAGGAGAGGAGAATGGGCCCAGGAGGAGCCTGGGCTGGTTTCAGCAAGTGGAAGGCCCTACTCCCTGCCTGCTGTGGGCAGAAGTCCCTCGATGGCAGAGCAGAGGAGAATGTCTGGGTGCTCTGTGGGGCTCCAGACCCTGTAGGGACACCAGGGGGGTCAGCCCTGCTCTGACACAGACTAGAGCTAATGAGCTGGTGTCTTCCCAGGATAAGCAGTGTCTTGTGAGCACCTTTGAGCTGTGTTGTGTTACTTGTTAGCTGTAACGCCTGGGCTTCTCCAGTAGCCCATCTTCTCCCCGACGCTCACCAGATGCCAATTAGCAGGTTGGCCCAGCAGAGCCTGGTTGAGGGGGTGCAGAGAAACAGGCCAGCATGCTGATTGTGACCTCATGCCCTGGTTCTCTTCCAGGCAGAAGTGCTGTACAAGAAGAACCCCAAGCTGCTGAACCAGCTGCAGTACTGTGAGGAGACAGGCATCCCCCTTGTTGCCATCGTGGGTGAGCAGGAGCTCAAGGATGGAGTCATCAAGCTGCGGGATGTGGCCACCAGGGAGGAGGTGAGGGCCCGCGGTGGCTCGGTGTGATGGGGGAAGGCTTACTTGAGCCTTCATCCCAGCTCAGGCCAGCCCCCCAGACCCATCCGTACCTCTGAGGTTATACACAGCAAGGTGGCTTTGCTGTCCCAAATTTGGAGTGTAGTGCCCAAAGAGAACATCAGAGGAGCAAGGTGCTTCCACCCGATGTGACAAGCCTCCAAGGCTTAGCAAAGCTGATGGTGTGGCAAGGGGAAGGTTCTCCACACACCAGGGCTGGCAGATTGGAGATGAGACCTATGGGCTGATGGTGGTGGCCTTGTGGGGCACTTTTGGAGATGGGGTGAGGTGGGTTTCCTCAGCCTATGGAGCACATAGGTGTCAGTTTGCCACCGAGCCCCCTATAACAGGTGCTCAGGATTTTCTACATTGGCTTTGTTGTTAGATTTTTTTTTTTTTTTTCCAAGCAGTGGTCTCTCCGGGGAGTTCTGTGACACCCCACGGTCCAGTTCCTCACCCTGTGCACTTTCCTGGAGCTGTGGAGCACTGTTGTCTCCAGCTCTGGAGATTCTCCCATCATGTGGCCTCCTTGAACTCCCAGTTATTTCTCAGTTCAGGAGCCTGTGGGCTGCTCCTGCTTTCCACCCAGGGCATGGGACCACCACTGACGGCCCTGGAGGCGCTCTGTCACAACAAGTGGGCCCAGTGCCATCTGTGCACTGGTCTTTGGCTTTGGAACCAGTAGGAAAGACTGGGAAGAGTGTCACTCTCGTGGTGGCTGGGCAGGAGAGGGCTCGGTGGGGTGCTTGCTCTCACAGGTTGAGCTCTGCGTGCGCTGCAGCCCCCCTGGTCTCCAAAGAGGGACCAGTAACAGCAGCATGGTCCAGAGAAGGGCAACAAAGATGGTGAGGGGTCTGGAGCACAAGTCTTGTGAGGAGAGGCTGAGGGAGCTGGGGGTGTTCAGCCTGGAGAAGAGGAGGCTGAGGGGAGACCTTATTGCTGTCTACAACTCCCTGAAAGGAGGGTGTAGAGAGGTGGGGGTCGGTCTCTTTTCTCAAGTCACAGGCGACAGGACGAGAGGAAATGGCCTCAAGTTACACCAGGGGAGGTTCAGGCTGGATATTAGGAAAAATTTCTTCACGGAAAGGGTTATCAGGCATTGGAATGGGCTGCCCAGGGAGGTGGTTGAGGCACCATCCCTGGAGGTGTTCAAAAGACGGGTTGATGTAGTGCTGGGAGGTATGGTTTAGTGATGGTGTTGCTTTTAGTTTGTTGTGTGGGTGTCTATTTTTGTCAGGTTGACGGTTGGACAAGATGATCTTTAAGGTCCCTTCCAACCTAGAAGATTCTGTGAAAGCAGTGGGGGACATCCCTCTGGGACCAGAGAAGGTCACAATACACTTGTGTTGTACCGAAGCAACTTTACCCTCCCCTGTTGCAGGTCAACGTTCGCAGGGAGAGCCTGGTGGAGGAGATCAGGATGCGCACGAGCCGGCCCTGAGCCCCCTGGGGACACGTCTCCTTGGTTTGCTGGATTCCCGCTGATGCGTCTCCTCCCGTCAATGCCTCTGCCGGGCCACGGGGGTGTGGGGTCGGGGGGGGTCCTTTGAAAGCTGTATTTATTATTGTCTTGTGCCCTCCCTGTCCCGGTGGGACCTGCTCCCAGAAGGTGCCCCCATCCTCCAGGATGTCCCCTGGCCCTCTGGGATGTCGCCAGAAAGACGTTTTCGGGTGGCTCCGGCCTACACCGGCCTATGCCAGCCTCCACCTGGCCCCGCTGCGGTGCTGCGTGGAGCCCCGGGGCTGGCAGCAGACCCCCGGGGGGGTCTTGGCTGCAGCTTCTTGTCCCCGTCGCTTCGAATAACCCTCCCGTCCCCCCGCGGGGAGGTGACCTTTTCCCGGGCCCGATGTGAAGGCGCCGCTCCCAGAAACACAATAAACCCGTGTCTCCCGCTCCCCGGCTCCTGCCCCTGCTTTCCCCTGGGGACGGGCATTTCCTCACCCCCCTCCCTGCCATTTATGGACGTCGCTGGGGCTGGGGCTCCCCCCTCGCCTCCCC